ATTTTGGACATGTGTGTAATTTTTATAGTTTTGGATTGATATATTTGTAATTTTAAAGTTTACAAGGACATTAAAGTAATATTAAAAGTTTGCAAGGATATATATGAAATTTTCCCTAAATCATTTGACAATATAAGCCATTTCTAGTATAATAAACTTTCTTTTGTGAAAGTGAAACTTGAAAATTCACATATGGAATACAAAACATGACACATTACACCTTCAGAGAATGTGGGACATCAAACTCACTAAATGCAAAAAAAATGGTGTAGTCTTCTTTAGCAAACACCCACCTAACAATATTAAAAAACTAGCCCAATTTATTAAGAGTTTTCTAAAAATTAGCCCAATTTATTAAGAATTTTCAAAAAATTAACCTAAAGTCCCTCACATAATCATTAATTTCGAAGTGTTCACATAATCGTAAACACTTGTGCAAATTTCGGCGCCATCCATAAATCCAAACTCAGCCACGAACTTATAAGAACACAATACCGCTCACCAGACATGATTCTAGGAACTGCAATGATAGACATGTATGAAAAATGTGGAAGCATAGATACTACACGCAGGTGTTCGATGAAATGCCACAAAGAAATGTTATAACATGGAGCACAATGATTTCAGCTTACGGGTATATGGGCAAGGACAGAAAAGCAGTCGAATTGTTCACCAACATGTGCAAAAACAAAATCATACCAAACAAAATCAGCTTTCTTCCACTTCTATATGCTTGTAGTCACTCCAGTTTAATCAATGAAGATGATAGATTTTACCTGTTGTGATGAAGAAGATGTGAAAGTAAACACTAATGGAGATTAGATGTGTAGTGAAGTAAGGTAGGAGATCAGATATGTAGTGAAGAAAACAATATACCAATATTGAAGGCCCCTTAATTGAACTAAAAGATATGATACGTGTCCGCCTTTTGATTTAATTTGGAATTTAATTAGGAAATGACAATTTGGAATAATAATATATAATTTTGAATATTAGATATAATATTTAATAAAAATTGATATAATTCTAATTAAATTATGATTTTGGACATGTATGTAATTTTTATAGTTTTGGATTGATATATTTGTAATTTTAAAGTTTACAAGGACATTAAAGTAATATTAAAAGTTTGCAAGGATATATATGAAATTTTCCCTAAATCATTTGACAATATAAGCCATTTCTAGTATAATAAACTTTCTTTTGTGAAAGTGAAACTTGAAAATTCACATATGGAATACAAAACATGACACATTACACCTTCAGAAAATGTGGGACATCAAACTCACTAAATGCAAAAAAAATGGTGTAGTCTTCTTTAGCAAACACCCACCTAACAATATTAAAAAACTAGCCCAATTTATTAAGAGTTTTCTAAAAATTAGCCCAATTTATTAAGAATTTTCAAAAAATTAACCTAAAGTCCCTCACATAATCATTAATTTCGAAGTGTTCACATAATCGTAAACACTTGTGCAAATTTCGGCGCCATCCATAAATTCAAACTCAGCCACGAACTTATAAGAACACAATACCGCTCACCAGACATGATTCTAGGAACTGCAATGATAGACATGTATGAAAAATGTGGAAGCATAGATACTACACGCAGGTGTTCGATGAAATGCCACAAAGAAATGTTATAACATGGAGCACAATGATTTCAGCTTACGGGTATCAGGGCAAGGACAGAAAAGCAGTCGAATTGTTCACCAACATGTGCAAAAACAAAATCATACCAAACAAAATCAGCTTTCTTCCACTTCTATATGCTTGTAGTCACTCCAGTTTAATCAATGAAGTTGATAGATTTTACCTGTTGTGATGAAGAAGATGTGAAAGTAAACACTAATGGAGATTAGATGTGTAGTGAAGAAAGGTAGGAGATCAGATATGTAGTGAAGAAAACAATATACCAATATTGAAGGCCCCTTAATTGAACTAAAAGATATGATACGTGTCCGCCTTTTGATTTAATTTGGAATTTAATTAGGAAATGACAATTTGGAATAATAATATATAATTTTGAATATTAGATATAATATTTAATAAAAATTGATATAATTCTAATTAAATTATGATTTTGGACATGTATGTAATTTTTATAGTTTTGGATTGATATATTTGTAATTTTAAAGTTTACAAGGACATTAAAGTAATATTAAAAGTTTGCAAGGATATATATGAAATTTTCTCTAAATCATTTGACAATATAAGCCATTTCTAGTATAATAAACTTTCTTTTGTGAAAGTGAAACTTGAAAATTCACATATGGAATACAAAACATGACACATTACACCTTCAGAAAATGTGGGACATCAAACTCACTAAATGCAAAAAAAATGGTGTAGTCTTCTTTAGCAAACACCCACCTAACAATATTAAAAAACTAGCCCAATTTATTAAGAGTTTTCTAAAAATTAGCCCAATTTATTAAGAATTTTCAAAAAATTAACCTAAAGTCCCTCACATAATGACTAATTTCGAAGTGTTCACATAATCGTAAACACTTGTGCAAATTTCGGCGCCATCCATAAATTCAAACTCAGCCACGAACTTATAAGAACACAATACCGCTCACCAGACATGATTCTAGGAACTGCAATGATCGACATGTATGAAAAATGTGGAAGCATAGATACTACACGCAGGTGTTCGATGAAATGCCACAAAGAAATGTTATAACATGGAGCACAATGATTTCAGCTTACGGGTATCAGGGCAAGGACAGAAAAGCAGTCGAATTGTTCACCAACATGTGCAAAAACAAAATCATACCAAACAAAATCAGCTTTCTTCCACTTCTATATGCTTGTAGTCACTCCAGTTTAATCAATGAAGATGATAGATTTTACCTGTTGTGATGAAGAAGATGCGAAAGTAAACACTAATGGAGATTAGATGTGTAGTGAAGTAAGGTAGGAGATCAGATATGTAGTGAAGAAAACAATATACCAATATTGAAGGCCCCTTAATTGAACTAAAAGATATGATACGTATCTGCCTTTTGATTTAATTTGAAATTTAATTAGGAAATGACAATTTGGTAAAGTAATATATAATTTTGAATATTAGATATAATATTTAATAAAAATTGATATAATTCTAATTAAATTATGATTTTGGACATGTATGTAATTTTTATAGTTTTGGATTGATATATTTGTAATTTTAAAGTTTACAAGGACATTAAATTAATATTAAAAGTTTGCAAGGATATATATAAAATTTTCCCTAAATCATTTGACAATATAAGCAATTTCTAGTATAATAAACTTTCTTTTGTGAAAGTGAAACTTGAAAATTCACATATGGAATACAAAACATGACACATTACACCTTCAGAAAATGTGGGACATCAAACTCACTAAATGCAAAAAAAATGGTGTAGTCTTCTTTAGCAAACACCCACCTAACAATATGAAAAAACTAGCCCAATTTATTAAGAGTTTTCTAAAAATTAGCCCAATTTATTAAGAATTTTCAAAAAATTAACCTAAAGTCCCTCACATAATCATTAATTTCGAAGTGTTCACATAATCGTAAACACTTGTGCAAATTTCGGCGCCATCCATAAATTCAAACTCAGCCACGAACTTATAAGAACACAATACCGCTCACCAGACATGATTCTAGGAACTGCAATGATAGACATGTATGAAAAATGTGGAAGCATAGATACTACACGCAGGTGTTCGATGAAATGCCACAAAGAAATGTTATAACATGGAGCACAATGATTTCAGCTTACGGGTATCAGAGAAAGGACAGAAAAGTAGTCGAATTGTTCACCAACATGTGCAAAAACAAAATCATACCAAACATAATCAGCTTTCTTCCACTTCTATATGCTTGTAGTCACTCCAGTTTAATCAATGAAGATGATAGATTTTACCTGTTGTGATGAAGAAGATGCGAAAGTAAACACTAATGGAGATTAGATGTGTAGTGAAGAAAGGTAGGAGATCAGATATGTAGTGAAGAAAACAATATACCAAATATTGAAGGCCCCTTAATTGAACTAAAAGATATGATACGTATCTGCCTTTTGATTTAATTTGAAATTTAATTAGGAAATGACAATTTGGTAAAGTAATATATAATTTTGAATATTAGATATAATATTTAATAAAAATTGATATAATTCTAATTAAATTATGATTTTGGACATGTATGTAATTTTTATAGTTTTGGATTGATATATTTGTAATTTTAAAGTTTACAAGGACATTAAATTAATATTAAAAGTTTGCAAGGATATATATAAAATTTTCCCTAAATCATTTGACAATATAAGCAATTTCTAGTATAATAAACTTTCTTTTGTGAAAGTGAAACTTGAAAATTCACATATGGAATACAAAAACATGACACATTACACCTTCAGAAAATGTGGGACATCAAACTCACTAAATGCAAAAAAAATGGTGTAGTCTTCTTTAGCAAACATCCACCTAATAATATTAAAAAACTAGCCCAATTTATTAAGAATTTTCAAAAAATTAACCTAAAGTCCCTCACATAATCATTAATTTCGAAGTGTTCACTGAGAAATGGGAATCGGCACTACGAATGCCCAACACAATATTTTTTTAGAAAAAAAAAATTTACGAATGTGTTCTGTGAAATACTCTTCCAAACAAAAAAAAATATTGCAAAATTCACCCTGCATCGAGAAACTGTTCTTTGTACTTTAAAATTGTTCAAATATTATTTTCACAGCAAAAATATATTATATTAAAACAAAGTGTTTGAATGAGATTTTATATAAAATCTTATGTAAAATGAGTAAAAGTTCAAAAAAATAATGTCTTATATGTAGAAACCCATTTGGCATTATTGTGGGGATTTTCTTAAATTTTAGCTTTTTCTCAACTAAAAAAAAAGAACCAAACAAGTGACATCAATATAATCTTTACAAGCTCTTTTCTCACACCCACGAATTCATTTTCGCAATTTCCAATCAATATTTCAAACAATAAACATAATTTAAACAAATACACATACACATAGAGATTGTTAACTAACACTTATTCCATACATTTTTTATAAGTTCCCTACAAATGGACCAAAAAAAGGTCTTCAAAAACCAACATTTTTTTCCCAACAATGTTGACAAGTGGCATACAAACTCCATCTATTCGCCTTCAATGTACAACTACAACTGCTACCTATGCAGATAAGACTTGTACATTGTACTAGGGTATATGATTCAATTCAAATAAACCTTTTTTTTTCTTCCAAAAAAGAATGGAGCTCATCTTATTAACAAGTACAAAAAACATAACAAAAAAAACACAAACAAATCATTCGTTTTTCAATATTTCGTGGACTTCATCTCTTGTGGGCATAGCTGGAATGGCTCCTTTCTTTGTTACAGTTAGGGCCCCACATGCGTTTGCAAAAACAAGTGCTTCTCTTAGTTTTGCCTCGTCCTATATTACAATAAAAAAAAAATGTTTCAATTATTTCAGACACAAAATTGGATCGATTATATGTTTATAAAAGGCAATATTATTATGTTTTCTGTATCGCATAAATTGTAGCCATATTTGATTTGAGGGATAATGACAAAAATGACCAAAAAAATGGGGAGTCCTTATCACCTTTTTTTTACCACATTTTGAAAATTTATCACATAAATGACTACATTTTGAAAATCACGGATTTTTATCTTTATGTGAAAATGAAGGAGCATAATTTCTTTTTCACGAAGAAAAGAAAAAGTTTTGTGCATTTTTTTTTTACTTTTTAAATATTTTTCTGGTCGAAATTTTTTTCTTACAAAATTGCTTTATCACCCACAACAATATTCGTAAAAAGATTGTGAATTTACTTTTTTTGGAAAAATTCAATCATTTATCGTGATAATGATGTCATTTCCCTAAAAAAACAATGTCATTTTCAAGAAAAAGAAATCGTGAACTTTTTTTTTTTTTTCGTTTTTAAGATTTTTCTAGTGGGTACCACTAATAAAGAAATTTCATGAAAAAAAAAAGTTTGTCATTTTGCAAGGTCATTTTACTGATTAGCCCTTGATTTAATAATCATTATGTGGGTCCCAAATGGCATGAAAATATGATTGTAGGTCTAATTTATAATTTATAATTTATAATTATATACCTTATAAAGATTTGTATCCAAAGCCAAATTGCTTAAAATTCCCCCAACAAATGCATCTCCAGCACCCGTAGTATCAACAGGCTTTACTTTAACACTCGGAACTCTACCCTTAAATTCCTACACAAATTACCAAAACAATTGTATTTACTATTTAGCCCCTATAAATATACGACTAAATTTGTCATAGAAACAAAAATGGGGCCCACAAATAAATGAAAAACAAAACCTTACCTTTGTATAATATCTACACCCATCTGGCCCTTCACTTACAAGCAAAAGTTTAAGATTTGGATGAAAAAGTTTATTCAACACCACGTTATCGTCGTAAGGATCGTCACCCCCGGTCAAAAACGTAATTTCATCCTCACTTACCTACATATACACGGTAAAATATATATATATATATATATATATATATATATATATATATATATATATATATATATATATATATATATATAACTTTGATGTTTTTTTTACTTTTATGCCCTTGGAAATGGAAGGGTACCTTGATGATATCTGCTTGATCCCATATGCTCATTATGCCTTGTCGAGCCGCATCCTCTGAGGGCCATAATGGTAATCTCAAATTCACATCATAAGATAGGATGCTTCCCGATTTCCTTGCTATTGCCATTGCAACTAGATGTGTTGATTTGCATGGCTCCTCTATCAAGCTAATAGAACCATAGTGGAATATACTCGCCTAAATATCAAAATTATATTTGAATTAAAAATTATTCATGTGCGAAAAAAATCATTAAGACTATTATGATAAAGATAAGGAGGACATTCATGTCTTTTCAAATGTCTTTTCAGATGGGACAAAACATTGCAATGTGTTGTCCATTAGTACATGTACTTAAGTACCTATTAGTACATGTACTTAAGTACCTTGGTCCACCTTTTTTGGTAATGGGACAGATAATTATAATTTTTTGGTAATGGAACAGATAATTATAATTTTTGTCTGATTAATACTTGTCCCTGTCTATCATGTCCTGTATAACAAATGGACCTGCTTGATAAGATTCAAATCAAGTTTCGATTCACAAAGAACCATGTGTTTGTTACATAGGATATGACTATTGAAAATTTTCTAGGACTATTTTTTATGATAAATATAAAAAGGGTATTCACGTCTTTTGCACAAAAAACAAATTTCTGTCTCACCTTGTTCCATCTTTTCGGGTGAGTACCGGTACTTGTACCTTGTTCTACTATCTTTTTGGGTAGTGGGATAGATAATTACAATTTTTTGTATCAGATGTCATGTCATGTCCTGTTTTGTCCTGTAAACAAATAAGGAGATAACTGCTGACCTGCTTGATAAGATTCAAATCAAGTTCCGATTCACGAAGAAGCATGTCGGCACTCGGATTACGAAAAAACATAAATTCCCTCTCGCCATCAGATTTTAGAGTAACAAAAGCCAATGCTGTTCTTGCATTTTGGTCAAATCGCATCCCAGAGTTGTCGACTTTGTTTTTCTTCAAAATATCAGCCAACATGTGACCAAATTCATCATCACCCACCTGAAAAAAACCAAAAATGTGAAACTTTTTAGGAAACGTAACTAAATTACATAATCTTTATATCAAAATTTAGGGTTTTTTTTTCAGGGTACCTTGCCTATGAAAGCGGAAGAGCCTCCCAATCTTGCTATACCAACAGCGACATTAGCAGGAGCACCACCAGGAGCTTTCTTGAAATCGGGTGCTTCTGCAAGTGAAACCCCAGAAATCGAAGGAACGAAATCAATCAACATTTCCCCAAAGCATACGACAAGTGGATTGGGTTTGATTGTCTCTGGACCTCCATTTGAATGCAAGGATAAGTCTTTCAGATCATCTGAATGCACGAAAATTGATTCAAGATTCATTAGGAAAAGGAAATTGTTGAAATCTTTATAAGAATATGAGTGTACACGAGGTGGTAGGTGTTGTGAAACTAACTAAATCAAGAAAATGAGTAATGATCATTTATGGCGAAGAACCCTCCTCTTTAAGGTTTTCCACGTGAATTCCATCTACTTGTAACTCTTGTCTAACCGAAAATCAGCGATAAATTTTGATCATTATCAAATATGGGAATTTCAAGTTGTATAGTTATTAAAGGAATCCGCCATTAAAGCGATTAAGAAGTTTCCGAGATCCAAACAAGAAAACTAGAATTCGTTTTCAGTTTTCACTACCAATTGGATCTGAATCAGATATAAACGAAAACATGCCAAGAACAGATCGATGGGACTCAAAATTGAATATACTAAACCTTGACGACGTAATAGAAACCTCGAAGAAGAATAAAGAACGAACTAAAAAACGAATAATTTATCAAGATGTAAGATACCCACGTATCAGAATAGAATCTTCTTCTAGAACAAACGGAAAACCCATGAAAAGAACATATCAAAAGAGGTAAACAGTAATAGTAGAAATGGATGAATTGGTGAAAGAAAAAGGAAAAAACAGAGTAAGAAGTAAGAACCTGAAGTTGGAATATCCGCCATGTCAGTATGAACTTGATATGGAAAAAACTCACAATCGATAGCTGTGAATAAAGGGGGAATTACAGTTCAGGGTAATGATGATCAATGAAAAATGGTGTTGATTTGAATAAGATGTAAGAGAATTAGTTACCAAAATTAGCGAATAAGTTCGGTGAAATCCAGGAGAAGGGGGTTTGAAAAGGTGAAGAAGAAAGAAGAGAAAGAAATGGTTTCCCCTTTTTATGATTTGCAAATGTGTCAAGATGATGATCTTGATCGACTCCGATTCTGATTCCGATTCTGGTTTTTCTCCTCTAGATTTCAGTTCCTATACGGAGACTACGAGCACACAGAAAGCGTAGGCGTTGTTTTTGGCTTTGATTTTCTTTTCTTTTTAATTGTTTATGTAAAGTTTTAACCTTTTCGTAACACAATATAATCAATTTCTATTTGTCTTAAAACTGAATTTTGTATAATTAAAAATACTATGTAAGATTAAATTTTATTTTCATTATACTTTCTTTTTGTTTTATTGATAAGTATGATATTTAACTAATAATACAACATTTTTTTTTTCTGTTCTCCCTGTCATAGCTTCAAACTCTTTGGTCTATAATTTTTATGTTTATGAATTTAATGCTAAAAAAATAACAAAATCATATTATTAATATTTTTAGGGAAAACCACCGAAAAACCCTATGTATTATACATGAGTGCTTAAAAAAACTATTATATTAATTTTTTGTACAATTTAACCATTATTATTTCTAAAACTGTGTAACCTATCTAATTCATCCGGCTTGCGAATTAGGTCATTGAGATAATGGTTAGCAATCCAACTCAGATATCGATGGCTCGAGGCTGTATTTCGTGAACAAATGTGTTTCTTTTCCTAGGATTTCACTTGCCAAGTTAGTTCATTTCTCATCCAAGACGCCCAACATCTAAATGGACACTTATTATTGTCACGTTTTTTTTGCCACAACGTACTAATATCCTAGAACGATCACACTTGGTAAACAACAATTGGTATCTATTAGCCACCGCATAATTTGTTAGACAAAGCTTGGACTGCTCTAGGCTTTCGTATTTTTCCCCTAAGTATGGTTTCATTTTATTCCAAGGTATCCTACGGTTGTCTACATGAGATTGGTCCTCAATTTCTTGATCTTTGTGCTCTCCTTTGTCAAATTCTTCATCTGAAGGGGTCAATTCAACATCATCAAATGATCTTTCATGCAATTTCATTTCTCCTTGTATCAAGTCATTCAAAAAAGAATTTCATATTGTCTTGTATATTGAAGAAGCAACATATTCTTCTGCATCAGACTCGTCATCTGGTTCCATTCAAACCCTTCATATAAACTTCAACTAATGCATTTGAACTTGAAGTCATAGTAGTTGGTTAAAGCTTCCTTAAATAATAATGCAAACAACAAAAATAAGAAATAAGTGTAAAAAGGGATCAACGTACTGATTAAGCAAAATAGAATGATCGATTACCTTTTTTCATGTGATTAAGCACCAATTTTCCCTCCACTTTCAAGAAGTTTTCCCTCTTCCACGAAGCTTTCCCTTTTTTGTTTTACATAATGATCGATATCAGGGTAAAGTAGATGAAGTGTATTCCACGTAGACTGATAAGATCAGGTAACATATATAGGGTTACCGGATAAATTAGATAACATACACGGTTTTGGAAATAATAATGGTTAAGTTGTACAAAAAAATTAATATAAAGATTTTTTTAAGCACTGATGTATAATAGCCCTGTCGAAAATACCCAATACCCGAATTACCCGCCCGATTTTTTCGAGTATCGGGTAAATCGGGTATCGGGTAAATTTTTTCGGGTAATCGGGTAACCCGATTTTTTTTTTCAGGTCGGGTAAAGGGTACGTTTGTTGGGTTTCGGGTATACCCGAATTACCCGAATTATTTTAAAAATTCTTTTTTTTTTCATAGAGCTTGTATTCGGTAGCAGGTATTTGATCACGCTTAAACTAACTATCATTATTGTAAAACGTGAATCTCTTTTATTATGACAATATGACACTAGCAATACTAAAAATAATTGTTTATATATCATCATGTTCTTTAAAACTTATCTGTTTTCTAGATTATAGTTTTTATTGCAACTAACAAACTCATTATCTTGACGAAACTTCAGAACATGGCAAAACTTATGGCTACAATTATCTTAAACATTTTAAACTTTTAAATTAAGATCTTTAAGTATTTGGTTTTTTAACATCTTATTAGATTAGATTAAGTTGTTAAAATATTACTTGATATCTCAGGTATTATTGACTAAAAATCTCAATGTTCAAAGCTTGAGTAACTTCGTTTATGTCTCGTTTGTTTATATAAACAAGACTAATAAAACACGATATATTTATTTCATTAAATTTATTTTCAGGTAAAATTCAAAAAAAAAATTATATATTTCGGGTAATACCCGAATTACCTAAACCCGACCCGATACCCGAATTACCCAAACCCGAATTTAATTTGGGTCGGGTAACGGGTATTTTTTTTAACATGAAAAACCCGAATTACCCAATCCAAATTACCCGAAACCCGAAAAAATTACCCGATCAACACCCCTATTGTATAATACATAGGGTTTTTCTTGGTTTTCTCTTTCTTTATAATGAGATTTTAATAGGAAGACAATGAAAAAAACTATTGATATTTTAGGTGTTGTTTGTTTTTTCTGAAGTAAAATGTATGCAGGTTTTGGACCACATTTGCAAACATTTGCAGTAGAAAAGGTAGATCAAACGTATGCAATCTTAAAAAAAAAATTGTTTGTTTTTTAACATCTGTCGGCTGCAAAAATTTAAATAAACTGATTTTTTTAAATTTAAAAGATTTTTCAATACTTTTATGACTTTATTATAAACGATTAACAAATCGAGATCAACCTTTATGCATTATTGTGTAAAAAGTTAAAATAAAATTGTACGAATCAATGTATATATTTGATAAAAGCCAACAAGTTTTGGTTGCAAATCTCCATAAACATTGTAATTATGGATCAAAATAATTAACACATAAAATGGATGGAAATAAACTTCGATTTTAAAATAAAAAATTTTCATTTTACTATTTCAATTAAATCAATTAAAAATTGATCATAAATATTTTTCCCAAGAAATAAATGATATTGCATTAAATAATGTTTTATAAAATTTGACACAAAAAATATAAGACAATATATATATATATAAACAGTTCCAACGACCATTATTGTAATTAATTTTTTATATATAAATTGTCACAAACGTTATACTTGTGTCGTCGAACCTTTTTTTCTTGAAGTATTGTAACTTTTTTTTCCAAATTGTTTATCATAATAAAATTGGAATAAAGCTAACTTAAAATAATAATAATATAGATATATGTGTTTTTTAAGGCTAGTAGATGTTAGAAAACTCTGGTCCATATCTACGCCAAGAAGAAGATGCACATTTTTTAAGTCTGCAGTCTTCAAAATGTTTACGTGGCACAGACAATCTACAGACAAAAAACAAAAACCAACTTAATGTTAAAGGATTCTAACATTTGGAGAAATAAAAAATGATTGTTTCCCTATTTAAAATTATTATAAGGTCTTGCATGTTTCTTCCTATCCAACATCGTGTTGTGAGTTTTTTCCCTATTGTTTTCTTCAAGGGAAATGGAATAATTTGTAAGCAATGCGAATAAATCCAAATATTTTGTGTTGATTTTTTTGGCAAGACAACGTAATATAAAAAGGATTTGAAATCTTTATTTCTCTAAAATTTTCTTTCATCATTTCATGTGAGATTTAAGGAGAAAGAAATAAAATATGTATTATAAAGGATTTATTTTGATTCTTATACTTTCCGATGGTTTTTGCTCTTATCTAGATTATAGACTATCCATTTGTTTAGCCGGTTGTTTAGCTAGTTTGTTAGCCTTTCATTTTTTATAATGAACATATTGTATCCTGCAACGGTGATTTTTGATCAATAGAATAACCAAGTTGGCTCTTATTAGTTTCTTTATGGTATCAGAGCAGGTTATCCGCACCGGATAGCAAAATCGTTCAGCAACCATGACAGGAGAGAAAGGCGACGGAAGCAAGAAGCCAGAGGGCGAAACCATTGATGTCAATTCGCCATTCTACATTCACCCATCTGATTATCCAAAACAGATGCAGGTGAATGAGGTTCTGAATGACAACAATTATAACGAGTGGAAGCAGGAGATGACCAACTTTTTCCTTGCAAAAAACAAGATGGGACTGATCGACGGCACCATCAAGAAACCAGAAAAGGAGTCGGCAACACACACGGATTGGGTTCGAGCCAATGCCATGGTCAAGGGTTGGCTAACGACTGCAATGGAAAAGGAGATTCGCACCAGCATAAGGTATGCCGATACCTCTTCTGAAATTTGGAAGGACCTAGGGGAACGATTTGAAAATGAAGGAGCACCAAGGCCTTATGAATTAAAACAGTTACTCAATGTAACACGACAGGGAGGTATGTCAGTTTCCAATTACTATACGAAGCTAAAGTCTCTTTGGGATGAAATTCAAGTTGTCCTACCTATGCCACGGTGTGTGTGCGATGGGTGCGAGTGTGCAATTGGGAAACAGTTGAGTCAGGTGAGGGAGAAAGAGAGGACTTATGAATTCCTTATGGGACTCGATGACGAGTTTTCAGTCATTCGGGCTCAGGTCTTGGCCATGAACCAACACCATCACTTGCAGCCACTTACCACTTGGTGGCAGAAGACGAACAACAGAGGGCCATCACAGGTGGAGCAAAGAGACCAGGACCAGAAGCTTCAGCTTTCCAGGCCAACTATGGTGAGACAAAGGTGCAACGACAGTTACTAGGGAAGCAGAACACACAGGCAGTCAACAAAGCAGCTCCAAAAACTGCAAAGATCGAGAATGAAAAGAAAGAAAAATGCAGTTACTGTCAAAGAGAAGGCCACGTGAAGGAGGGGTGTTTCAAGCTAATTGGATACCCTGAATGGTGGCGTGGAAATCGAGACAAAGGAATACCAAAAGCCGGCTGCGTTGAGATGATAGCTAGTCCAATTCCGGGGTTAACGGATGAACAATATCATCTCTTTATCAAGCACTTCAAGGAAAGCGGATGCATAACTAAAACCGAATCTCAACCAAGGGCTAACATGGCAGGTAGAATTGATACATGTGATGGTTGGGTGGTGGACTCAGGTGCCACCGAACACATTACTCATAGGAGTGATTTTCTTAAAAACAAAACCCAAAGCCCAAAGGGAACTCCTGTCGTCATTCCAAATGGAGACAAGATTCCTGTTTTGGGTGAGGGTGATCATGTACTTCCAGGAGGAATCAATATCAAAGGAGTTTTACTTGTACCAAGTTTTAATTATAATTTACTCTCTGTTGGGAAACTAGCCGATGAACTTAATTGTGCTGTACTTTCTTTCCGGGTTTCTTTGTCATGCAGGAATTGGGGACGAAGCGCTTGATTGGAGCGGGTAATCGTATAGAAGGTTTGTATCGCATGGGGGTAGTGAAGACTAATAAAGCTCTCTTGACCACCTTCGAGACCTGGCACAAAAGACTCAGGCACCCTTCACCAAAGAAAGTTTCTCGCTTAGATTTTATTCCAGCTTGTAAGAATGATTTAAATTGTGATGCTTGTTTTAAGGCTAAACACACTAGATTACCGTTTCCTATTAGTGAAATTAAAACAAATGCTTGTTTTGACATGGTGAATTGTGATGTATGGGGGAGATATAGAACCCCTTCAAGAAGTAAGGCTTTTTATTTTTTGACTGTCGTAGACGATTTTAGTAGAGTGGTTTGGACTTTCTTACTAAAACACAAAAGTGAGGCAGGCACATGTCTCATAGATTTTTACAAAATGATCAGAACCCAATTTGGAAACGCATAAAACGGATACGATGCGACAATGGAGGTGAATTTGTGTCCAATACCATGCATGATTTTTATGCAAAAGAAGGCATTCTTTTAGAAACTTCTTGTCCATACACCCCACAACAAAACGGGGTGGTAGAGCGGAAACACCGACATTTACTAGAAACGGCTAGGGCTCTTCGTTTCCAAGCCAACCTTCCTAAAACCTTTTGGGGAGAATGCGTGCTGACTGCAACGTATGTTATAAACCGAATGCCCTCAAAAGTGTTACAAGGAGCTTCACTGTATGAAGTACTTTTTGGAAGAAAGCCTATCTATGAACACTTGCGAGTCTTTG